TTTAAAATCCAAGGATGATGCTCAGGTTTGCCCTCAATCTACTGAAATAGTGGCTCCCAACATGAGCTCCACTGATGTTGTGAAAAATAAGGTGCCGGGGAGCTTCTCTCTGAACTTGTGAATCTACTCCAGGTCTGAACTCTGTCCAGTGCAGAAGACGCTCTGCTCTCGGCTGGATCCATCACATCGCCCGACATTTGTGAGAACGTATCACATGGCAGGCACTGAGCTAAACTCAGAGGAATCAAAGATGACATGACCCGTTACTTGCCTCAAAGAGCTTCAACCTGCTATAAAAGACAAGGACATGTATATAACTATAATATAAGAAAGGGAGTGATAGGTACTGTGGGTGCAAAAAATGCTGTGGGAATTCAGAGAAGGGAGCAATAACTTCCAGAAGGGAAGCTTCATGGACAGAAGTTGTCTTTTGAACTATTCCTTGGAACATGGAACAAAGTATGATTTGAATCAAGACAATAAAAGCAATGTAAGGAGTGCACTAGCATGTATTCAAGAAAATACTAACCTGGTACAAAAGCGGCAGTATTTTGGTTTGGAGGGAGCATGGAGAGGATGAAGGGGAAATTCAAAGGGCAGATTGGGCCTAATTCTCAGAAGTCCTTAAGTGCTAAAGATGTTTGAGATTTATTTTATAGGCATAGGAGCCATTGGAGATTTGTGGGCAAGAATGTAAAACATCTGGATGTGCTCTGGGAAAATGAAGTAGAATGGGGAAACCCCACGAGTAGAGAGACCAGTCTGGACACCACTGTAGTGGCTCGAGTAAGAGAAGGACGGGCAGGTCCAAGGCAGTAACAATGGTATGAAGACCATGGAACAGATATCAAAAATAGGGAGCAGGTGAAGTCAGCAGAACTTGGCGACCAATTGTCTGAAGTTGACCAATGACAAAAAGAATCAAAGTAAATTGGACAGTTTTGAACTTAAGAGATACAGGATAACAGGAAGGGAGGACAGTAGAGTGAAAGGCTCTAAAGGACTAGGAAGGACTTGCGGAAGTGGAGAGGAGACAGTGAGCTACAAGTGTCATCTGCTTAGAGAAGACAGCAGGAGCCATTGGGCTGGATGAGGATGTCAAGGTTAGGATGCAGTTAAGCTTGGCATGGCCAAACTTTCTTAAAAATTGCATCTGCCAAGGTCTCCTCACTCTCTCTTTCACTCATTAATTTGACAGATAATTATTACATATGGTCTTTCTGTGGCAATGCTGAAAGGAATCTCCTAGAGAGATAGTAAATAATTAAAAACTGTAATATATAATGTTTCCCCTAAATAATAATCATCTTTATAATCATAAGAGCTGTAACCATTTGCTCATCACCCTTATACAAGGCACCAGGCTAAGATTAGACATGTTTTATTTCATTTCATTGTTTAATAACCTGATAAGTTAGGTATAATAATAATAGGTTAGGTATTATTATTATACCCATTTTGTAGGAAATTGAAGCTCTAAGAAAAGTTATCCCCCATATAAGATTACACATGGTACATCATCAAGGATCCCAGATTTAAGCACTGATTATTAGACTCTGAAGTCCCTGCCATTAACTGCTGGGCTGTTTGGTGACAGCCAAATAAGATATGCATTTTTAAAAATATCAAATAACAACCCAGATACTTGTACCATCAAATGTTTAAGAGCCACCTTGCACATGTCCTGGCACACAGTAAGTACTTAATAACTTGTTCAAGGTAGGCAGGCAGACAGGAAGGGTCTATGGAATATATGACAACTGCTAGCAGTTCAGGGAAAGAGAAATCTCAGTAGATTGCAAGGGGCAGGATTTGTTCTGCTGGAGGATAGAGAGAAGAATCTTCTAGAAGAGAGGCATCTAGAAGCTGAGAGAGAGATAGGGTAGGTGAATCCAGAGTGTGTCTTGGAGGTGTGAGGAAGCCAGTTTGGCCAGAGAAGACCATTGTATAAAGACGTATAGCAGGAAATAAGTTTCAGAACGTCTGCTGGGTTTGGTGCATTTTCAACAGGACTAGGTCACTAAGTTTTTGAGCCTGGGAATGGCATTGGCACAATGAAATCTGACTTTGGTTGGCAAGAGAGATTAGAAAGAACAAAGATGAGAGCAGTCTGGTTGTGAAACCTGCAGCAACCCACCATAAGCAGGGTGGGATTGAGAGTGGACACTGGGTGGAGGTGACCCATTCTCCTGGAGGAGTCAGGCAGGCTGTACAGTACCCATGGACATTTCCAGGCCAGAAAAGTGGCACTGCAAAGCCCCCCTCACCACCCTAGGGCTGTATAAATAATATCCTGAAGTAGCTGATTTTCTGTGTTTAACTTTGTATCACTCCTGTCCCCTCAGCAGAGAGGAGTCCAAGAGAATGGAAATCAGTATAAGGAAGCTTTGATTAGGAAAGATGATAGAGAAATGCCCAGAATTTGGGCATCCAGGGACAGTAGAGGCACAGCCTCTGGCAGGGACAGCTACCAAGAGGAGATCAGATGCAGGCTGCAAAGAGGGTGGTGCCAAGGCAGGCAAGACCCAAAGCCTGACTGGAACCCTGTCCCGCCACCTGCACAGGCCAGGTGACTTGGCAAGTCATCTAATCTTTCTAAGATAACTAACATGGAAACATCCAGCCCAGTGCCTGGCACGTGTCTGATACTTAACAAACATGTGGAGAACAGGAAAATCTTGGTCTTCAGTTTGCTCACCTGCAAAACTAGGATAACAATCTTAGACCTGCCTGCCTACCCGGACCACAGGGAGGACCCGTTGAGGTGCAAGTTATGAGCACTCTGCAAAGGTGGTAGAGCAATCTACAGGGGAATGTTGTGACTTTCATGGGTCAGTGGCACTCCCCACAGATCACTTTCCAGAAGCAGAAGAGTATTTTTAAGAATCTCTACACCTCTTTCCACCAAAAGGCAGCACCAGCCCATGTGTGCTCTCACCCCTGAAGAGACAGAGGGTAAAGTGAGAAGATACTGGAGGCCCTTAGCAGAGACTCTTCCAGGTCAAGAATGATTCTTCAGTGTGCAGAAGCAAGAATCCAATGTATCCAATTCCATATGAAGGCAGTAGATGATCTAATACAAGGTGGGGGATAGGGGAATGAGCAAGTGGGGAGAGGGGAGGAGGGAAGGCAACGGAGGGTGCCAGTGTAGGGCACACCTCTTGGGGGCAGGACACAATTACAAGAGGCACTTTACCTAACAAATGCAATCAGTGTAACCTACTTCTTTGTACCTTCAGTGAATCCCAAACAATAAAAAAGAAAAAAAAATGGTTCTTCATCTCTTTATCCCTAGTCCCCAGCATTGCACCTGCATGGATTAAACTAAACCTTGTGGTACCCACAGACTCCATGCTTGAGGCCGATCAGGACATTCATAGCTCAGAGCTGATCCAAAGCCAGGTTCCAGTGAAGGGATCAGTGGCCTGTAAACTTAACTCATGTAGCAATGAAGGGAGCCAGTGATGGTGAGCAGACTGGGGTGATCTATAAACAACCTCATTGTTGCCCTGACAATGTCCCTTGGGCTTCACATTCAAGGCCCTTCCCAATTTGATTCTTCCTGACTTCCCATTCTTTCCTTTCCAGCAAGCCGCTAATCCTTATTCCCCATGCACACCCTATGTCCTCCCACCCCACCAACAGACCTTAACTTCTTTTTGCATCATATGCCTTTGTCCCACTTACACTTACAGTCGCCCCTGACTGAGATATGGTATGTGTGTCCTCTCATCCATGAAGCGTTATCTTGCAGCGTACTCTCCCATCTCCAAATCTTTGCCACTCTTTTTGCTGTCCTGCTGTGCTCTGGTTTACCCCCAAAGTCTTAATTACAAGGTTGGACAATTAAGTTCACAAACTCATTCTAGAAAAAGTGCTACATAACTTATTGTTGAATATCACTAGGGTCACCTTTGAAGTACTCCCCTTGGGAAACAGTGCACCAATGCCATTACCCTGAAAAGTACTTTTGGAACTCTTTCTGGAATGGACATCAGCACTGTTCTCATATAGAAAGTGACAATTAAATTCATAAACTCATCCTAGAAAAAGTGCTGCATACCTCATTGCTGAATATTGCTACGGTCAACATATGGTTGAGGAGAGTACTTCAAAGGTGACCATAGTGATATTAAGCAATGAGATAGGTAATATTTTTTCTAGGATAAGTTCGTCAGACCTCATATGAAGATACGCATTCCATCTCTCTTTTGACCCATTAGTCCTTTAAGGACTGGGTCTATGCATACTTGTTTTCATAGATAAGGAAACTGAGGCTCTTTCCCCCAGGATCTGCCACAGTGTCTTATGCAAAGTAAGTGCTTCATTAATTTGTATTAAATGAATGAATAAATGAATATCCAGTGCAATCATATAGTTTCCCTGTCAACGCCAGCAGCATCTGTTCATTCATACTGGGTAAGCCTTGAACTAGCACTGTGGCTAGTACTTGGTGGGTCTTCAGTGATTCTTTGTCAAATGCAAAAGGTAATCCCAGTATAGTTGAAAAACTTCCAATTCTACATGATGCAAGGAGACATCACAAGGAGCTCTGTTCTTTGCAAACTGGATTTATCACAAGCCGGGAGCAGGCCAGAGAGCACTGACATGTTCAGTGCTCTCTGAACGCTGAGCAGCAGCGTGAACACTTGTTTTCCATTTTCTCCTTTCATTTTGTCCTGCTCACCGCTTCCTGCCTCCCCACGTCTCCGACTGAGAACATCTGTGTGGTTGCTTTGAGGGAGAGGGACTAGTTATGGCTTCCCTCCAGCTGTTTCTGCAGCCCCCAGCCCAACCTCAGAATGCAGGGCAGGTGTCTTTCTGTCCTCTCCCCACAGCGGGGTTCCTCCCAAACTGCCAGAACGGACCAGCCACCTGCAGCTGAATGAATGCTTTGCCTTATCCCAGCCAAGTCAGAGGCATCCAGCTGTCAGCCTGCTGTCACAGCTGCTAATGTGAGCACTTCCCTGACTGATTCAGGCGCCCTGTGTGTCTTTCAGGCTGTGGTGGTGACTGACGGGGAGCGCATCCTGGGCTTGGGGGACCTGGGCTGCTACGGCATGGGCATCCCTGTGGGCAAGCTGGCCCTGTACACGGCGTGTGGAGGGGTGAACCCACAGCAGTGCCTCCCCGTCCTGCTGGACGTCGGCACCAACAACGAGGTAACGTGCTACTCAGGCCAGGAGCTCTGAGGCCCAGAGGTAGCAGCTGGGGCAGGGTGGGGAGCACATTTGTGGGGTGGTTAAGCATTTTTTTTCTTGGCATCCTCTTGACCAGGGCACACCCCCTACACAGTGTGAACTGGAGGCCCTTCCTCCTCCCTGGTTGCTCACACCTCAGCCCCATTCTCTTCCCCTTCCCATTTCTGCCCCCCCCCCATGACCCCTGCTCCCTAATCTCCACCCCGGGCAGTTTCTTTTTCCCTTGAGGACAGACTCTGACCCTCTAGCCAAGAGGGCAGCCTACTGAGGTCAAAGTGACCACTGGGCTGCATTTTTTTAGCATTTTCAATGGAAGGATTAACATTCAGAGCGCCAGCACCAGGCAGGTAAGTATCCTACAAACCCAGGGACAGAAGCTGAGCCAAGTTGTAGGTGAGAACTCCCTGCAGGATTCCAAGTGGCTTGGGATTTAAGAGCTCAAACCCCAGCCAAGAGTTGGGGTGGGGCACAGCGATGGTGGCTGTCTGTGCTTCTCAGCTCTGTGTCTGTGAGTCAGAAAATGTGGAAAAGAATTCCTTCTTACTGACACTTAACCTTGAGTCTAAGATCGATGAATGTTTTAATTCATCTTTTAAAAATTGAGAAAATAAAATACTTGAGAAAATCCAGGGATATTCCAGATAAAATATCAATCACACACCACTGCTAATCATTTTTTACATTTTAGTATGTGCCCTTTCCCCCAAAGCACTTATAAAACCAAAATTGGGCTCATATTGCATATAATTTTTTTTATCTTGCTTTTTAAAAATGTAATACCTGTCATGAGTTTTCTCCCAGGTCTTTGATCCTTCTTCGACAAAATCATTTTAATAGCTGCCTTGTGTGTCATAATTTACCTAAGAAAACCCCCACAGTTAGACATTTAGATTGTTTCTAGTCTTTTTCAAATATATGTTGTGGTCTGATGCGCATTTTTTACAGATCAGTCTTTGTCCCCATCCTGGGTATTTCCATAGGATAAATTCCTTGAAACAGAAGTATTGAAGCAAAATAAATGGCTGTTTTATAGATTCCTGATTTGCATTGTCCAAAAGGCTATACTTACTTGCATTCTCTTGTGGTGATCTCTCTCAAGAAAATTTGCCAAGACTTTTTGAATGATCTTCCTCTTCCCTAGACCTCAGATGTCCCCATTCCTAAAAAAGAATGAGCAGCATAGCTCCCAGGAAGGAGTGATGCTTATCAGTCTTCCTCACAGATGGGATTAAATGAGGGAACACTGGGCAGACCTACTTAAAAGCTGGGAAGTCCTGGGTGTGGGTGTGAGATAAGGGAGGGCAAGTGGAATGGGAGAAGCACTGGATTGAGAAGCAGGAACCCTGGTTCCAGCACCACTAAAAAGCCAGGTGGGTCGCTGCAGGGCTTTAGACTTGATCCCTTTTCAGTATAATGAGGAACCGACCAGAAGTTTACTTAGTGTCTTTCAACCTCTAAAAGCACTTTCCCTCGTGTAGCTCCTCACCAGCCCAGAAAGCAGAGGCTGGATGGGGCACAAGCCTTGCAACTGCTCATCAGAACCAGCCCTCAAGTTTTCCTCGGTACCATGGTCTCCTCCAGCCAGATGTCAGGCTTTTGCTGAAATTGGCCTTCAGCCTCAAAGAGCGTATCATTGCAGGTGTGGATGAGCATAGCAAACTTTTAGTTATTCTTCCCATCCAACAGCTCCTGATATGTTCCAACTGGATATAATTGAAACCATCACACCCTCTCCTAAAAAATGGCCCTTGGCAAGAATTGGAAAAGCTTGAGTTTGACAGCCTTGCCTTGCCTCCCAAGAGGACATCGTTAGTCTAGCAGGTGCATTAGCATCCTTTGTCTTTGAAGGTCTGGCTCCCAGAAATGATAGGCAGAAGTTTAGGGTGGTCCCCAACTTCTGTCACAAACCCACCAGAAAATATTACTGGAAAATAATGGTGATCATGGGCCAGACTCTTTTGTTTCACAGACCTTACAATAACCCTGTGAATGAAGTTATTACCTCCCTTTTCTACAGTTGACCAAGCTGAGACCCAGAGCATTTAATTTACCAAGAGCATCTACTAGAAGGCAGGGCCAGAATCCCAACTCAAGTTTGTGCTGCCCTCCCCACACTACACCCCTGCCTGGGTCTCTGTTGCTTTGTAAGTAAGGATCATTTCTTGATTTGGCGAATTTTTATTGCTAAAATAAATTTAGACCATTATTCAGAATTCTATTAAGAAAAAGGAAACGGCATTTCTCCCATATTGCTACATTTGTGTTCCTTTCTAATATTTATCTATGCATATTCATAGATAGACTTAGTACCTAGTTGTAATCATGCTACATTTTGGTCTAAATTTTTCAGTTTTCTAGTTTTGTTAACACTTTCTCTTTATTTGATGCAAGTTTATTGAGTGTGTAGTAGGCATTAGGCACCCTGCTAAGCACAGGACGATAAATGAGAGCTGGGTCTGGTAGGATGTTCTGGTTGTCAGTGTTCTAACACTGTCACCTAATTGATCATTGATGGGTCATGTGTTTACTCTAAGTGTCTGCTTTTCCTCCTGGGGCATTAGGCCTGTAGAATCACCTCCTCCTTCTGGATGTGAAAGGGAGAGAATCTCCCTTTACCCTGCTCCCTCATGTCAGAGAAGGACCAGAGCATCCCCCAGAGCAGAGGGGAGATGCCCTGACCTGCCCTCCCTACACTACGAGAGTGAGAGAAAGCAGTTCTCACCCAGTCCAGTAAAAATAACCAGCTGCTGTCACTGAGCATCTGAAATTTGCCAGGTATAATTCTGAGCCTTCACGTATTTCATGTGTTTTAATTCTCACAACAGCTGTATGAGATGTTGTTCTCTCCATTTTATAGATGAGGAAAGTGAGGCTGAAATGTGTCGGCTACTTATCTCATTTCCACAGCTCTGGGTGTCAGAGCTGCCTCGCCCGCTGTGGGGCACTGCTCCTAGGGGTTATGACTGGGAAATGAGGACTAAGAAAGAAGTTGTTTCATGCCAGCAGAATCCATGGACAGTCAGGCTTGAGTTAGAGCAAAATCATGTCCTCACCTCTAGGGAAAGCCGTGCCTCCTCTAGACCCACTTCAAGAGATTCAGGACGCAAAAATTCAAAGTTATAAAGCGTCCAACATCAGGAAGACAGTGATTTATCCCTTTGCAAATGGCTTTACTATGTGATCTCTTGCACTCTAGTTCTTTCTTGAAAGTGAATCAGTTTGCAAGATGCTCCCCTTAGAAGTCCTAGGGCACTTCCCTTGCCCAGAGCAAGGCAGAGCTATGGTGGAGGGAAGCTCAGCTGTGCAAACTTTATCTCACGTGTCAGTGCAGGGAGGCTGCCGTTGGGAGGGCTTTTAGTGTTGGAATAACTAGGCCATCTGTGTGTATGTCTCCATAAAAACTCCTGCAGGCAACAGGAGCTTTAGTCACTGTCAGAGAAAACACCCTCCAGGTTTCCTGTTGAAGGAAAACATCTGCTGTCTATAGCTCTGAAACTCTGAGTCACTTTTACCTGCCAATACCAAGGAGATTTGGAAAAATAACTACGTGGGGTGGTGATCCCACAAAGAAGGGACATCCCATGATTAAGTTCCAAGGGGGCAGAGGAAGGGAGCCTCTTCCTGTCATGCAGGGTGCCTGCTTAGCCTTCCATCATGGCTGTGCGTGAACTAGTTTGTGTATTTTGTTTCCTCCGTGTGCAGCCAGTCACAGACTAAAGAGAGAAGGATCTTTGACGTCCTCTCGCTCAACACCTTGTCTGACCTGAGAAGAGAGGCCCAGAGCAGAAATGTCTTTCCAAAGGCTTCACTGCAAACCCAGTGCTGTCTGCACTCTGTGCCAAGACACTGTGGGCAGCCCGGGGGCTTAGTTCTCAAGCAGCCCTCCTGAGCCTTGGAGGTCTGCTCCTGGCAGAAGTCTTGAGCCTGTACAAACTCACCTCACACTGAGATGCTGTGTGGGCCCCTGGAACTGACTCGTAGGCAGAAGGGACTTAGAAACAAACTTGGGAGCAGATGTTCCATGGGTCTGGGAACACAGCCCTGGTGGTGTTAATGGGTTTCTGAGGGGGCGTGGGGTCAGCCCCCAAGCTGGATGCTGCAGGATTTCTTCTACCTTGCAGGATTATCCTACTATGACTAATAAATATTCCACATTCTCCCCACAGTGCTTGTGCTCCATACACACGTGGCTCTGAGGATGCCCCCAGGGTCTTTGTAGCTTATTCCTGGGCTTAGCTGATCATCCCAAAAAATGAGTGTTAGGCAGGACTGCCACCCTGAGGGGAATAGTGCTGGGCCCACAGCCTGAACCCAATCCCATGACCCCCAAGACTCGCAGATGCTCTAAGTTAACATCTTAGGGTGCCTGCTGCTACACAAGAGAAATATTTTTTTGACCAAGAGGTCAAATTGGCTTCCAGCTTAAATGCAGTGCTCACTGATAGGGCCAGTGAGGAGAAAGAAACCATTTTGTTTCCCATGATATTTTGTTTCCAAGTAAACTTTAGGTCGGCAGAGTTGGGCGAACTGCCATAGACAGCACGTTCAACCCTCTCACTTCCACAGCAGAGGAGAAAGTTCTGGTTCACCCACTTTGGACAAAGACCGTCATGTAAAATTATAGGCATTGACTTTATTTCATTCCAAAGGGAAGTTAGTAACTACACGTATGTAATAGAAGAGAATATTTAGTCGTTCAATTAATATTTAAGTGCCAGGCACCCTAGTGGGCCCCAGGGCGTGGAAGTGAATAAGCCTGGTCTCCACACCAGGCAGAGCACTGGTGTAGAACCCATGGTTTGTGCCCTATTTCTCACACCAGTGTGTCTTGAAAAGCTCACTGATCCTTTCCAAGCCTGAAAAATTCTTTTGGAAAAGGCCGAACCAAGTGATATCTAAAACCTTCATAGTTCTTAATTTGGCGTTTCTTCAGCCCACTCCTAAGACTTAGGCAATTCTTA